GATATTGTGACAATTATATTCTAAGTTACCTAATCCTACCCATATTAAATGTGATTTTTTCTATCCTTAATAAGATTTAAAATCAATAGCTAGAGAAGACTTTTAAATGTTTAGGCAAGGTTGATCTTTTCATATTTGTATTTTATTTTGCATTTCTTTTGTATTGAAAGTCATTATATGGAATTCAGACTGATTCTTAGATTAAGAAGGTGGCTATGCAGTGACAAAAGTAAATGGATGGAGAGTTTATTGTCAGATCTGCTGATTTCACGATGGGAGGAAAAGATCAGTCAATCTTCCAGAGACCCTAACACAGACTTTGAGTTGTTTCAACATTGTATTTTTGCTGTAGAAACTTCATCAGCTAAATCATGTTAATAAATCCCCAGTCATTTTGCCTCGAAGCATGGTTTTTCTTTACAATTTGACTATTTGCTGCTTTTCTGACATTGGTCAAGTTATGCATTTTAAATGTTTTTAAATGTAAGGATTTTTTTTCCCCTAATGAATGAGAACAATTTTAAAGTCATAACAATGTTTAATATTTTCATCACCCCCCATCATTGTGCACAATATAATGTATTCTGTGTGTTCAATTATCAAGTAACAGAATTATAAATAGTAAGATGTGTACAAAAGTCTAAAGGGGAAAGACAGGAATAAGGATTATGGTAGGGAGAGGGGTAAGTATGAGGTCCCAGAATTTGGTGGGGAGAGGGAGGGTGTAAGAATTAGGAAAGATCCGCTAGGAATCTGAAAAGAGGGCTTAACTATGGGCATAGCTCAATGGTAATTAATTTTACAAAATACAATGTATGGAAATGATTGTATGAAACACAATGTGAATGAAGGTATGTGTGGAAAAAATGTATATAAATGAAATGCAGTGTTTATGAATTTTGCATAATTAGCATAAATTTTAAAAAAGATAACACAAAAAGAAATAATTATAGATTCAAAATAAGCATAACTGGTTACTCTGGTTCTTAATATCAGTTTAGTCCAAGATCAAATGATCCCAAAATATTACATGGTAGTATCAATTTCTCCTTCTGATTTGTTATTTCTATTGATCTTTTCTACCTAGATTTTGATATTTAATTATTGACTTAGCTTTTCCACAGACTCAAGTATTGGCCCAATTAATTGTTAAAGATTTCAGTGTAAGTTCAAATCACCTAATTTTCCCCCCCATTCCCACTGTTGCCTAAAATGCTTGACATCTGATCTTTTCTTTGAGCGGAATGTTTTGATAATAAATTCCTATTCGACAACATGGTCTTCTCATTTGTAATTTTCAAATCTGCATAGAGTATCTCTTGCTTTCAAGTTAAATCTGACTTATGAAAGCGTCTATCCTATTTATAACACTTTAACCCTTATCTTCCTACTTCACAGTAGCTGGTAGATTTAAATAGACATTCAGTTAACAATCCAACACTTTTTCCTACTAAGGTAAACTCAACTAACATCATATAAAGTATTCTTACCTTGGTGTTGTTTAAAGCCAGGCATGTACAATTGCTTGCATGTCTGCTGTTGAAATTTATCTAACAGAAAAGCATAAATTAATATTATTGAAATAGTTAACATCTTATAATCATCCTGTATTTATAATGATAATACTTATCTAGAGTTATTTTACTGATTTTTAAGTGTGTGTCATGCTCAAGTAAGTCTTCATATATTTTAAAAAATACACATCAAATTGTTGCTAGGAATTATTTGAATAAACATAGAGTCAAATACTATTATGAACAAAATTATTTTGTCTTGCATGAGTAGAAACAAAAGAAGTAGCGAGCAAAGGCATGCAAAATAGCAGTTTCAATAGAAATATTAATTGTATTTGTGTGAAAGTACATGTATCATTGCCTTGGATTATTCTAATTAAATAAATCGATCAGTTAATATGAATACAGATATTTTGCGATATAGTTAAATGGTGATTGCTATAATTCATCATTATTAATTTTAAGTAATATTGATGTGTGTATACAATTTTCCACTTTAATGTTTTATGTTTTTTCATCTAATCTATGTGAAAGCGTGAAAATACACACATATTTTCTTCTCAATGAGACTGAGTTGTCAGGAAGAGAAGTATCAACACAAAACCTTTCCCCCCTAGATTCTCTCTGAATTTAAATCGTAGTTTGTGCACCAGACAAGATTAGTGTTCTTCTCTGATGTATTGTTTTGATTATACTTGATTGTATTTTGACAGCTTTCACAGTGATAAGAGAAAGAATTAAAATGTGAATACATTTAACTGATCCAAGAAGTGCTCTCCCTTGAGCTTAACAGATAAAAACTTTAAGATCTTCAATGAAGCTCACAGTAACCATTTTCTCCTAAATGCCATGTTTTGTAGACAACACAGCCGGAATTGAAACCAAGAGAAATGGATACAGTCGCAGACAGCAAGAGTTGTATTTCCTCCCCATTGTTATAGAAGACAGCAGCTATCCTGTCCAGAGCAGCACCAACACAATGACGATTCGAGTTTGTAGATGTGATGCTGATGGGACCATCCTGTCTTGCAATGTGGAAGCAATCTTTCTACCTGTAGGACTCAGCACTGGAGCTTTGATAGCAATCCTGTTGTGCATTGTTATACTCTTAGGTTGGTTTCATTATTAATCACAGTATTTTCCTCCCTCGCTTACCTTCCTCTCTTTTTCTCTCTCTGTCTCTTTGCCATTTCTCAATTTATCATGTAAATAAATCATTCTGTGTCAAGATGGCACATCCATAAAAATTTAAATTTCTATTAAAGTTAACTTCAGTGTTCAAACCTTAGGTACATATTAGATAAGTAGGTGGCATTAAGCAAATAGTATATTCAGAAAACACAAAAATGTGGTCAACCTCTAGGAGATTTTTAAGTTAATAGAAATTTGAATTCTGGGTCACAATGAAGGCTATGTAATGAACAGCTGCCTACAACAAATGCTTTCTAATTTATCAGGCATAGTGGTATGTTCCAATGTATGTTGTTGTTATTGTTATGTGCTGTAGTAACAGAATTATAATTCTTTTAAAAAATATACTGAATGACCAACAGTTGACCAGCAAAAAAAAAAAACAAACCAAAAACAAAAACAAAAGAAGGGAAGACCTAGGGTAAAAGAAGGAAGCCAGACATTTGTTACTGTTTAATATATATATGTGTGTGTGTGTGTGTGTGTATTTTAAATGGTAGGCAGGCTTGATGTCTTTTCTGCTTTTCTACTATAATTTCATATCAAAGTTCTAACTAGGACTTGTTCTTGGTTTAATCAAGGCTGACAAGATGAAATTGTAATGGATGTGGATTTGTAAAATGATAACCTGAAGAGAAACAGTTAGAGGTATAGATCCCTTGCTAACAAAGAGGTATATGTCACCTGCCAAAATTCACTATCTGATCCAGAACTAGAGATAAGCTCCTTGCTTTGTCTCCTATGCCTTTAGATTAATATGCAACACACATATAGTTGAGAATCATTGTGTAGCCATGTTATATATTGAGCTTATCCTTTTTAAAAAAATATTGGGACAATTGTAAATACCCATCTCTATTTGTAGAGTCTAAAACACATTTTTTAAAAAACCAAAACTAAAAATAATACTATTATGTAAAAGATGGCTTAAGACACAGAAACACATGTTCCTCCCTTCGAGGTCCTGCTGGTGAGATCAACCTACTCAACTTTTGTTTAGCAAGTGGGCATTTCTGTTAGTGAAGTTCATTGAAAAAACTTCCACAGTAACAATGACACCTATAAAACTGCATATGACCAACTGTTGTTTGTTGTTGTTATGTGCCGTCGAGTCGTTTGCGACTCATAGCGACCCTGTGTACAACAGCCCTAAACCCTGCTCTATCCTGTGCCAATCGCACTGTCTCTGACACACCCACCCTGATTACCCCAGTTACTGAATCAATCCACCTCATAGAGGGTCTTCCCCTCTTGTGCCATCCCTCCACCCTCCCAAGAATGATGTCCCTCTCCAAGGACCGGTCCCTCCTTACATGTCCAAAATATGTCAGATGAAGCCCCAGAATCCTTGCCTCTAAGGAGCAGTCTGGTTTAACCCTCTCCAGGATGAATCTGTTTTCTTGGCAGTCCATGGTACATTCAATGCTCTTCTCAAGCACCACAGCTCAAAGGCATCAATTCTCCTTCTATCTTCCCTAGTCATTGTCCAACTCTCTGATGCATAACAAGTGATTGCAAAGACCATAGCCTGTATCAGCTGCACTTTAGTCTCCAGAGTGACACCATTGCTCTTGAGTACCCTGAAGAGGTCCCTAACAGCAGACCAGCGCCAACTAGGTCTCTCAAATAAACATTTGTTCTCTCTTCTATAAAATAAGTGTAAGTTCTAGTATATTTTTAGATTAAATTGGAGTGATTTGGTATTCTGGGTTGTTTTTTTGTTTGTTGTTTGTGTTTTTTTCTACCCCCTCTGCTTGCCTTCTTTGACCATCTTACAGAATAATCAATAAAGGCTTTATATCATTGTTTTCATGCCCTGCCTTCTGCCATCCATGATCAAAATGTTTTCCTGAGTGTTTCCAGTGTGCCTGCATTGTCCAAAGAATGATGAATTTCATGGAACTAAACAGTGATTGTTGTTGTTCTTGACTTTGTCCCATGACAACATTTTCTTAAGAATTTCTTGAGTCCTTTGACTCTAAACAGATCTGACTGTATGTGAGCTATTTCAGCTTCACCTCAGCCAGTTTCAAATCTTACTTAGGGGTAAAGGAACACACAGCAATTTTTAGACAACTTTGAGATAACTTTCAAGGGTATCTATCTACCTGTTGCTGTTATGTGTCATCAAGTTGCCTGTGACTCATAGCAATCCTTTGTCCATTAGCTCTTAAAGCTGCCATCTCCTGTGCCAATTTCATCTTCTCCAACAGACCTTCCCTCCAGCCACTGAGTCAATCCATCTCATCGTGCATCTTCCTCTCCTGTGCTGTACTTCTACCCTTTGAAGCATGTTGCCTTTCTCCAAGGTCTGGTCCCTCCTGGCCACAAGCCCAAAGTTTGGGTGATGGAGCCTCAAAATCCTTGGTTCTAGGGAGTAAACTGGTTTGACCCTTTATAGGACATACCTATTTGTTCTCATGGCAGTCCAGGGAATGTTCAACACTTTCTTCCAGCACCACAATTCACAAGCATCTATCCTTCTATCATCCTTAGTTATCAAATTATATCTACCTACCTAGTCCTTGCTAAATCTTTCCTCCACTTTTCCAAGCATGATATCACTTTCCAAGGAATAGCCTCTCCTAGCAACATATACAAAGTATGAGTGAGAAGCAAAGCTTTGCCATCTTTGCCTCCAAAGTGTGCTCAGACTATACTTTTTTCCAAGACATATCTGTTTGGAAAAAGTGAAGGGCAATCCAAAGAGAGAAGACCACTCCAATGAAATGGATTGACAAGTGGTTGCAGGAATGGGTTCAAGTCATCAGAGATGGTGAAGATGGCACAGGGTGGGACAGGATTCAGATCTTTTGTGCATGGGGTCTCTGGGAGCCGTAAGTGACTTGATGGCACCTGGCAGCACCTGTGCCTTCCTCAGCCACGGCTGCTCTGGAGGCAACTGTATGGGGTTGACTATGAGGCTTGCAGTGTCTCACAAGTGGGCAAGAAACTATCTCCTTACTGTTAGGATTCCTTAAGCTCTGACAAGAGCGTAAGGGCTAGACATGCCACCTGGGCCCACTGTACCTAAGTTTTAACTATATGCAAGTTGATTTATCAAACTCTAAATTTGAAAAAAAAAGGAATAAGTTGGCTTTCACCACAATATACTCTTTTTTCAATTCAATGTATGAGACACAATTGGATTTTCAATGTTTTGTCATGACTAAGATCACTGAGGGGCGGTGAGGGTAAGACCATGAGAAGCAAAATTGATCCTTGATTTCATGATTTCTACCTATGCCCATCCACCACTAGGTGAACTAAACATTGTAGTTTTGATGGCTAACCTGATATGAGGCATCTGAGAACAAGAGGGTTTTTATCAACAAAATATATGAATTTATATAAAACATAGCCTAAATAATAGATATTTGGCTTTGAAAATATCTCAATACAAAAGTACATAGTGTTGAAATAAATAGTTATATTAGTTCATATTTTTTTTAGGGAAACAAAGTTTCTTATTTTCTTTCTTCCTCCTGTGCTTTCTCTGGGCTTTCATCATTTTCTCTTTATGTATCATTGCTCCTTAAATGAATTGGTATATAGATATTTGGATTTGTTTATTAAGAAAAACAAATAATATTGAAAGTGTGGCATTTAACTGTGAAGGGATGCTATGACATTTTTATGCTATAATATTCACGTTTCATTCGATCAACTCTCTACAGTTAGTTTTATACTGAGTTAAAAAAATTGTGTTCTCCCCCCCAATATCTGTTAATAGAAATTTTTACCTAACACTTAAATATTTAGGTGAAAGAGTTTCAGTTGTTCGATTTGGAGAGTAATCTTGCTATGGTTCGATGTTATTTACATTTAAAATTAAGTTTAAATTGAGTTTGGACAATGATAAACTGTAACTATATATATGATCCATAGTGACTACAGTATGTTTGCTCTGAAAATTTTAGAAGGTTGCCAAGGAAACTCAACCCAGATAAATCTTTAAGTGTTTATTATCGTATTTTGCACTGACATACATTCTTGCGGGTCTCAAATTGTCATTTCTCTTCTTCTAGCCATTGTTGTACTGTACGTAGCTCTGAGAAGGCAGAAAAAGAAAGATACCCTGATGACGTCTAAGGAAGATATCAGAGACAACGTGATCCATTACGATGATGAAGGAGGCGGAGAGGAGGACACCCAAGCTTTTGACATTGGTGCTCTAAGGAATCCAAAAGTGATTGAGGAGAACAAAATCCGCAGGGATATAAAACCAGACCCTCTCCGTTTACCTCGTCAGAGACCAGCAGTGGAAGATAATACAGATATAAGGGATTTCATTAATCAAAGGCTACAGGAAAATGATGTGGACCCCACAGCCCCGCCGTATGATTCATTGGCAACCTATGCCTATGAGGGAAATGGATCTGTAGCAGAATCTCTCAGCTCCATTGATTCTCTTACCACCGAGGCGGACCAAGACTACGACTTTCTGACAGACTGGGGACCCCGCTTCAAAGTTTTGGCTGATATGTTTGGTGAGGAAGAGAATTACAATCCTGATAAAGTCACTTAGGGGGAAATGAAGTCTTGGATACAGCTAAGAGGAGGAATTAAAACATAATCATGGCAAAAGAAAACAACAAATAGGACTCACCCACAGTTAGCCACAGGCTTTCTAAGACAAGATTCCTTTGATTATCTGGTTTCTAGCAAGTTGCTGTATTTATCATATTGTCCGTTTCAGTTTATTCTGCCGACAGGAGATAAATCCTGTATTATGTACTTGCTTTGTTTTGTTATTTTGGACACACACTGAGACACGCTCAGGCCTATTAAACACAATTTACTGACATGACAACCTTGAAGGAAGATAGCTATCTGGCATCACAGTGGAAGAGCGTTAGATTTTTCTTAATTCCACTAAAGTGCCTATTGAAACTCTTATCATTTAAAGTGGTGTACAGTGCACTCTGCTGTGATCGCTTTGCAGGATTCAGAGATGAAACGAACATAAAACAAAGACAGTCCTTATGTCAAGGAGCAATAGCACCATGCTGACTCTTCTAATTCCTCTGGTGGGAAAAGAAGACAACTTTATGAACACCATCTTCTTATGATTCAAATTCCCTTTTCTTTTCTTCTTAAAACTGTCTGCCAAAACACTTGTTTAATCCTCCCCTTGCAGAAAATTGAAATAGATGTGATATATTATTGGATTCAACATGTAAATCTTGAATTAAAACTATTTGATCTTATAATTGGTTAAAATATTAAAGCTAGTCATGAAAATGCTACTCTTTTTTTCCAAAACGAAGAAAATGAATTTGTAGCAAAAATGAAGAATTATCCCTCTTTCAAAAGGGAGGCCTCAGGGCTCAAACTCCACATTAAAATAAATATTGGTTTTGTTTTTTACAATGCTGGTGTGTGTAAGGTTGGTTTTAAACAATTAACAAATCATTTAAGCCTTCTTTCATGGATAAAAGTGTCAAGTGGTGTATCGAAATTTTTTTGGGGGGGGAAGAGGAGAGGATACTGTTAACAGAAAAAATGGAAAACAAAATTTTTAACACAGCTTCTTACAGTTTCTTTTTACAAATAATTATTGAGTAGAGAAAACAAAATACATGTTACTGTGGTATACTTAGAGGGAAAACAAGAAGATTTATACTATTTCTGAAAGAATTTATTGTGCATTAATTAATGAGTAAAACATCAGGGATCTTATAGCTATCAAACCAATTACATAATCATGAAATGAGGGCAACTTCAAAGGAAGGCAACACATTCACTTGGTTAACATAGATTTCAAATTTGTGAATGCCATTATCATATTACTTGTATATATATATATATATATATATACACACACACACACACACACACACAGAGTTATTGTTGTTGTTACGTGCCATCAAGTGGCTTGTCGCTTGTGACTCATAGCAACCCTATGTATAAGAGCCCTAAACCCTGATCTAGCCTGTGCCAACCTCACAGTCTCTGAGACACTCACTCCCACCACCTCAGTCATGGAATCAATATCTATCTATCTATCTATCTAGAGAACACTTTGGTAGCCTCGTGGTAGGGAGCTGTTTGCTCTGTCAACCCAAAGGCATTTGATTCGAATCCACCAGATGCTTCACGGGATGAATAGAGGAAAACTCCATCCATGTGATCTTCTGCCTATGAAAACTCACTGAAGGGTCCGCTGTAAGTCGGTTCTGACTCAACAGTATATAATTATTACATAGAAGTGCAAGGTTGTCCCTTTCTCTGTCATCATCAAAAATTCCTTCTGCTCTAAATAATCTACAGTTCTGTATGATGATTCTTAACTTTTTTTAAATTGTACATTCAATTATTCATCACAAATATATTTTTGTGGGTATTTTTTAATTATCTCTAATCCTATTTATTTATTAGATTTTAATGCCAGTTTATAAAAAACTTGGATTTCTGTTCATTCAGTGTTGCATGTTTTACTCCCTGTCTCACCTCCCTTCCAGTTTGCTTTCTTCTATGGAAGAAAAATTTCTTTCATTGTTATACAGTCTCCGGCTCTCTCTCACCCCCAGACCACTTTACTATGCAACTCTTATTCTGGACTCTTGTCATGCCAATAATACTTAATCAAAAGAGGGGATAAATACTGTTTCAATGGCACTGAAACAGACAAGGGAGAGAGCTGTGTAAAAGAAATATATGATTTTTAACTTTCTAATATTCTGTAGATTTCTCAGAAATATTAGGGAACATAAATATGTAGATACGTTTACTTACAAGAAAATGACATGTTGCTGTGAGGTGCTGTTAGTGGTAAGCTATAGAATAATATATGTTATATAATGGAGATGTAATTATAAAATAATGTTTTCTTCATATGATGATTACATAAGTCACTACTTAAATATGACACATTCTTGAAAATGATAAAATTGGATTATAGATTCATCCTAAATATACAGTTCATGCCTTCATTGTTAGTTACTGTTAAATGGATTTTTGGCTCACAGCGACCCCATAGTACAGAATAGAATTGCACCATACAGTTTTCTAGGTTACAATCATTATAGGAGTAAAATTCCAGGCTATTTTCCAATAGGGGTGCTTTGTAGGTTCAACCCAAAATTTAACTCATATTTAAGGGGTTGATGGATTCAAATTGCCCACCTTATAGTTAGTTAAGAGCTTTATCACTGAGCCACTGTTGTTGGTTGATAATTTTAGGTGCTATTAAGGTTGTTTAGACTTACAGTGATCTGATGTACAACAGAAGGAGCGTACAACAGTCCTGGCCCACTCTCACTTTTGTTTCTACATTTGAACCTATCGTACAGCCACCATGTAAATTATCTAATTATCTTTCTCCCTTAACTTTGTGCTTTACCAAAAATGCAATGAATTTCCTTCTCCAGGATCTGAATTCTCTTAATAATATGCTCAAATGTTCCAAGACAAAGTTTTATCTTTCTCTCTTCTAAGCAAGCATTCTGGCTGTTATTTTTGCTCTTCTGGAAACTCGTGGCATACTTAATATTCTTCACTGCAACCATAATTTATAGGCATAAATTATTTTTAATTCTTCCTTATTTATATTGTCCTTATTAACATGACTAAAAGACACTTCAATTTCACATTTCCAATAAAAATATATAACTCCAGTTAGATGTTCTATGAAGAGAAATGTGGCATCAGGATTGGAGGAAGACTCATCAACAATCTACATTACGCAGATTACAAAACCCTGTTTGCTGAAACTGAGAAGGACCTGAAGCACTTGCTGCAGAAGATCAAGGACTGCAGCCTTCAATATGGATTAAAGTTCAATATCAAGAAAACAAAGATTCTCACCACTTGGTCTATTGGCAACATCATGGTGAAGAAATTGAGCTTGTTAAAAAAAGCTTTAGTTTGCTTGGCTCCACAATCAACACTCTTGGCATCAACAACCAGGGAATTAAAAGACATACTGCCTTGGGAAGGTTTGCTGTTAGAGACCTCCCCAAAATACTGAAGAGCAATGACATCAGTTTGGAGACTATAAAGTGTCCTTGATATATAGGCCATGGTCTTCGCAATCACTTACTATGTGTCAGAAAGCTGGACAATGGCTAGAGATGATAGAAGGAGATGCCTTTGGGCTGTGGTGTTGGAGAAGAGTGTTGAATTTACTCTTCATTCTGCTGAGAATGAACAGGTTTGTTCTCTAGAGGATTAAACCAGGCTGCTCCTTGGAGGCAAGGATTCTGAAGCTTTGTCTGATATACTTTGGACATGTTGCAAGAAGGGGCCAGTCTTTGGACATGGATGTCATGCTTGGAAGGGTGGAGGGGCAGTGCAAGAGAAAGACCCTCGATGATATGTATTGATTTAGTGACTAGGGTAATGAGGGTAGGTGTCTTATAGACAATAAGATTGGCACAGGATAGAGCAGAGTTTAGGGATGTTGGACATAGGCTCACTATGTGTCTCAGGCAACTCGACAGCACATAATAACAACAACAGTTAGATATTAACAATAACCTTTTCAAATATAATTTCATTTTTAGCAAGCAAACATACAATGTTTGTAAGTAGTAATATCATGTGGAATGCGAAACCATGGGAGAGATGTCTTGTAAAAAATCATGTTTTAGTATTCATTGTTTAGAAGTTTTATAATGTTCCATGAGGTATATTCTTAGAAAAGTGATCTGGTTCTACTGTAATGTTCTTGGAAATGAAATATAAAAGTAGAGGGTTATTAGAAGAGAAGTTTCAGCAGCTACAATAATGGGTCTAAGCACTTTGGAAACTACAAAGATGACACACATTTCAATCTGTTGTACATGTGGTTGATATGCAGTAACATCTCAAAACAAGAGCATTGTTGTTGTAGTTAGGTGCCATCGAGGTGTCCATGACTCATAGTGACCCTAAACAACAGATCTGAACCCTGTCCCATCTTGTACAATCCTCATCGTCTCTGACATGCTCAAGCCCATTGCTCTAGCCACGGGCTGTCAATGATGGCAATCCATCTCGTTGAGGGTCTTCCTGTCTTTCAGTTATCCTCTGCTCTTCCAAACCGGATGTCCTTCTCCAGGAACTCACCTCTCCTAGCAACATGGCCAAAGTATGAAAGATGGAGTTTCATCGGCCTTTCCTCTAAGGAGCCCCATGACTACAAATTCTTGAAGACTTATTTGTTTGTTTTAAGTAGTCCACGGGATATCCAACACCCTTCTCCAACACCATACGTTAAAGGCATCAAGTCTTCTATTATCCTCTTCAGTCAATGTCTAAGTTTCAAAGGCCTAGGGAACAATTGAAAATATCATGTCTTGAATCCAATGCACTTTATTCCTCAAATGAACACTACTACTCTCCAGTGTCTTGGGGAGCTCCTCACCACAGCCTTTCTGAAAACAGCACCTTTATGATTTCTTGATTGCTATTCCCAAAGGTATTGATTGTGAATGTTAGCAAGATGAACTCAATAGCCAATTCAATCTTCTTTCTATATATCATGATGGTGCCTGTTGGTCAGGTGGTGAGGATTTCATTTCAGGATGTGGTAAACACGAGGCCAAATATATTGACTGTTTGCTATCACTGATAAGGTATAATTTATAACACAATGCTTCGGCTTTACACAGACAGGCTTAAACAACATGTTTCTAAATAATATTCAAAATTTATATGAGGTTTTTGTCTATTACTCATATTTAAACCATGATTTTGTTATTGCTTTGTATGCTTACCTCTACAGAAAGATATATCTATTTTATGTAACTTATAATGGAACATATATTTATATTGTTTATCACATATTTTTAGTTAGCAATAAAATATACTAATAATTCAAATCTCTATAAATTAACCTTCACACAAAAATAAAATAATTCCCTTAATTTTCAACAAAACATAGTAATCTTGGGTAAAACTGAAAATACATAATTTTTATGAAGTTGTGGTGAAGAAATCCTACATAAAACCTCAGCTCTTGCTTACTGGCTGAGAGACGACAACAGCAAAAGCTTTCTCACTAACCCTCCTTCTCTGAACATGAAGAGCTTGATTCTGCCTCAACTGACCCCAGAACCATGTGTCAGGGAGCTTCCTCCAAATTCAAAAGCTGATCAAGTATTCCTCTTAAGACTATTCTTTTTTTCCCTTTTTCATAGTTTTATTTTCTTTTTAAGTAAACATATTTGTAATTATTAGTGACAAACCTTTGGAAGTTAATTTTTATATGTTACTTACTACTAATTATTTTTCACAGATAATAAAATTATTTTTTTAATATTTTTTTAAATTTTTATTGTATTATTTTTACGTGTACCATCAAATCAGATCTGACTGGTACCGGAGGAGATTACCCCCTCCTTCTCCAGCAGAGCATCTGGTGGATTTGAACCGCGTA